AATCTGCTCCTCGGCTTGGCTTGGAGAGGACCGGGTTTAGGGTTTGGGGCTTGGGGTTTGGGGTTTGGGTTTGGGGTTTAGGACGGCCAGGGCTTAGGAAATTTACGGGTTGAGGGTTGAGGGTTGAGGGCTTGGGGTTTAGGACGTTTAGGGTTTAGGGTTTGGGGTTTAGGAGAGAGGAGGGTTCAGGGCTTAGGGTTCTTTTTTGGGGGCTAGCATTGCAAGAATTTCTTCTATTGTTTGAATGGAGGGGTGGGCACAGAGGGGGGGGGTGTGTAGGGTTGAGGGTGTCGGATTTAGGTCGTAGGGTTTTGCGATTTTAGGGGGCTTCAGGCTTCAGGACCCAGGACTCCAGGCGGCTTTGGGGTCTTCGATAGTGCCTCTCACTCGGCGAATTCGAGAGGTCTTGCCGGTGCTGCCCGCCCTGTCTGTACTTCTGTACCTCGGAGGTAGAGCGGCCAAGCCACGACGGAGGGCAGCTGGGCTTCATGTAGCAGTCAACCAGCTCCAGGGAGCCATCGTGCATGACGCGCCAATTTGCGCAATGACATTCTCACGAGCAGTGTCTCCGAGACGTGCACCACTCAGCGAGACTCCGCAGCCACGGCCCCGCCCTCCAAAGAAACGTGCCACGGAGTAGGACTGGAACAGAACTGCAAAACCCAGTAGGGCTGGCAAGTTTGGATGGGTACCCAACGAGTCAGCCACCAGAACATCTGAAACAGGGTTTAGGGTTTAGGGTTTAGGGTTTAGGGTTTAGGGTTTAGGGTTGGTCCAAGGCTTGCAGGGTTGATGGTGCATCTTTGCGTTTTGAGAGTTTAGAGTTCAGGGTTGATGGTGTGTATTTGGGGTTTACTTGGAGGTTCATGGTACTTTATATCCAACGATAACTGTTCATATAACCCACTTATCAGCCCCTTAAGTGCCCGAAGATGGGTTTTAGTACAGTCATAAGTACAGTTATGATTGGTGAATAAGCACCATGAACCTCCAAGTAGGGCTGGCGTTTGGGATTCCGACGTGCAGTGCTTGAAGGTCAGGGTGAGTCTCGGCAATCCAGGTTGCCCTGGTGAGTCTAAGCGCAAGGGGATATTTCGAGGGGTTGTCCGGGTTTAGGGTTTAGGGTCTAGGGTTTAGGGTTTACTAAACCCATAAACAAAAGAGAAAAGGAATGAAGCTGCAATCGGTACAAGCAACCCAAACCAAGCAAGGCCCATATCTTAGATCCCCCCCCCTCGCCCCAACTGCGGACCCTTTCCAGGCACAATCTGGTTTCGCTATCTGTTTAGCTATCAACCCTATGAAACCTAAACCAGGGTTTTCATAGCTTCGGATTCTCAAGGCTCTCATCAGCAGCTGAACCCTCCGCCACATGCCTTCAGCAAGAGAAGTAGCAATTTTTTGGGGGGGCACGGTTTAGAGTTTAGAGTTTCGGGGTCCTCCTGCAGGGTTTTGTTCAGCTGAACCCCTACATCCCACATACTAGGGTTTTTATTTCTCGTACCCCCAAAAGGACACCAAAGATATACACTCACCAATATTAAAAAACAAAACCTTCTATACACTCACCAATAACATTAATATAAACCCTGCTTCACATATGTCTGTCCACGCGGCCATGTGCTTCATCTTCAGCGATATTTCGCCTGCAGCGTTCACTGCGCGAGCAACGAGTCTTAGGAGTAGAGCTGCATCAGGAACTCGGGTTTAAGGTTTAGGGTTTTAGGGTTTAGGGTTTAAGGTGTAGACTTTGGTTCGGGTTTGCATGGGGTATGGATGGAAAATTTGGGGAGGCGTGTGTAATATGGAAAGTCCGAAGTGCTTGCGTTGCTGGCGCTGCCATCAGGCTGCTGATTTCCCAGGCATGGATACCGTAAACCCCATGCTCCAAACCCTACACACCCGGTCGAAGAGGCGATTCCTCGACCCCTCGCCCCAGACTCTGGGGTAGACTAGGTTTATCTGACATCACGATTGTCCCATTTTCGGATTTAGGATTTAGATTTTTTTTTGTTTTGGGGCGGGGGCGGTCCCACATCTAAGTCTCCGTATTCTTATGAAGTTTTCTTGGGGTCTCCATATGGTCAAGAGTCAAAGGCCACATGGTTTATATCAAGCCTTCCCCACCCCAGCTTAGCAACCCACGGCGTGCCCCCGAAAGCCACTTTCAATCCAGGTAAAGTTATCATGCCAGTTATGACTCATGACTAGTAAACCTTAACCCTAAACCCTAAACCCTCAACCCCATGCAAACCCTAAACCCTAAACTCTCACACTCAGATCTGAGGGTCTGGCTCATCGCCTGCCAAATGCAGCGAAACAAATACCCCAGGAGACCTAAATGCCAAATAGACCGAGAGTTTAGGGTTTAGGGTTTAGGGTTTAGGATTTAGGGTTTGGGGTTTAGGATTTAGGGTATAGGGGCGTGGGTCCAGGATCTTGGGTGCTGAGAATTTGGGCTTGGGGCTTAGGAAGACGAGCACCTTAGGGGTTTGGAGCTTGATGTATCAGCTTCTTGGTCTTTTCCCTAATCCCAGAAGCCCAAAAAAACCACTGCAAACCCCTAAAACCCTAAACCCCAGACCCTAGACCCTAAACCCGAAACCCCAAGCCCTAAACCCTAAACCCAACCCCCCCGTAAGTGAGCTCTGGACGTTGCGGAGTGGGGTTCGCCTTACTTCAAGCCGCACGGTCGCACCTACCCAGCGACCATTCGGGGATCTTGGGGTTTAGGGTTTGGGGCGAAGGATAGATTACGAGCTGACTAGGGTTTAGGGTTTAGGGTTTAGGGTTTAGGGTTTAGGGTTTAGGGTTTAGGGTTTAGGGTTTGGGGTTTGGGGTTTAGGGTTTAGGATCTAGAGCGTTTAGTAGGCGACCTCCTTTTGGGCGATCTTTCTTGAGATCCTGCCACCAGGCTACCAGGCCCCTCCACTTCGGTGAAGGAAAGCTGCGAATCTCTGAAGCGACATTCCCAAACCCCGAATCCTAAACCCTAAACCCTAAACCCTAAACCCTAAACCCTAAACTCCAAAGTCCTGGGCCTGGGGAGTCCTAAACCCAAACTCGAACCCCTAAACTTCAAGTCCACCCCCAAACCAAACAGCAACTAAACCCTTACCGGCCCTAAAGACAAAGCCTTGTGAAGCCCTGAGCCCAAAAACAACCCAAACTTGGGGGGGCAAAACCAGCTAGAGGAGTCCAGGCTCTCACAGGGCTTGGGGTTTAGGGTTTAGAGCTTCCCTCACCCTAAACCCTAAACCCTAAACCCTAAACCCTAAACCCTCAACCCGGTTTCGAAGCTGAGCCCTGCACTCCTTCGATCCGCTCGTAGTGGAGGCGTCGGAGAACGTAGACCTTCTTGGAGGTTCACTGGGGTTTAGTTTTGGGTTTAGGGTTTAGGGTTTAGGGTTTAGGGTTTAGGGTTTAGGGTTTAGGGTTTAGGGTTTAGGGTTTAGGGTTTAGGGTTTGGGGTTTGGGGTTTGGGGTTTGGGGTTTGGGGTTTGGGGTTTGGGGTTTTGGGGTTTTGGGGTTTAGGGTTCAAAAGTACAAGGGTGGTTCATTAGGGAGTATGTGGGTTCAAGGTTGCGCAGTTCAGCACCCATGTACCATCGAGTCCTACACCCTAAACCCTAAACCCTAAACCCTAAACCCTACACCCTAAACCCTAAACCCTAAGGATTAGGGCTTCTCTTAGAGCCACGGCTCAGGGTAGAACTGTAGAGCTTCAGGCAGAAGCCTACATGATAAAGTACAATCTATACGTACATGCAAGTACATTACAGATATACAGATAATGTAGACAATTAGAAACAAATAAAAATAAATATATTTAAGTAAATAATGGACATAGATATAGTTATAGATTTTCGATATAGATACAGATATAGTTCAGTCAGACAATGTACGGTGCCATGTTGCTTTGTGCATGCTGCTACTGCGCCGTGGTCGATGTAGAAGCCCTAAACGCTCCCCCGTACCAGCCCTGCGGGCCTCTCGCAACCCTAAGCCCTTAGGGCCTAGGGTTTAGGGTTGAAGGTTTAGGGTCTAGTTTTTGATTTCATTATCACTATTGGGTTCTCAGAAGGTTGCAGCAGCCTAGCCTAAGTCCCTCGAAGTGAACCCCCTCTCACTCAACCCTGAGCCCTAAACCCAAAACCCTGAACCTTCCAACCCTGCAACCACCCCTAAACCCTAAACCCTAAACCTCTACATCCCTAAGCCATCAGCCCTGAAATCGAAACCCTAAACCCTGAACCCTGAACCCTAAACCCTAAACCCTGAACCCTGAACCCTAAACCCTAAACCCTGAGCCCACAAGCTGGGGCGCCGACGCACCATCCCGCCAAGGCCGACGAGACGGTGCCCACCTTGAAACTTTGGCATTTCGGGTTTAGGTTCGTCAGGGTTTAGGGTTGTTTAGGGTTAAGGGTTTAGGGTTGTTTAGGGTTTAGGGTTTAGGGTTTAGGGTTTAGGGTTTAGGGTTTAGGGTTTCGGGTTTAGGTTCTTTAGGGTTTGGGGTTTGGGAGGGCTTAGGGCTTAGTAGGGTTTTAAGGATGCTTTAGGGCTCCGGGTGTCTTAGGGCTTTCGGATGGTTAAGGGAGTTCGGGTTTCAGCGGGATGTAGGAGGTCACAGGCGCACAAAAAACCTGGACACTCAACGCCTGTGCCGTGGCTTTCGCTGGTTTTTTTCTGGCTTTCCGAATTGTGTGGTCTAACTTACGAGCTAGGACAGGACATTGCGTAGGTCCAAAGGGTTTAGAGTTTTCGGGCTTAGGGTGACAAGGTAAGTTCTCCAGTGCAAAAGTATGAATTCGAAGCCAGGCCTTTTACTCAAGGGGGCCCCGAATAGGGACCCCCTAAGAGTAGGATTCCCTTCTAATAAGGACCCCAAGAAGGTACCCCTAAAGCCCTAAAGCCCTAAAGCCCTAAAGCCCTAAAGCCCTAAAGCCCTAAAGCCTAAAGCCTAAAGCCTAAAACCTATATAAACCCCCCCAGGCCTTTTACTCCAGCTGAAGCTCGGGCGGCAACACGTACTCGTAGACGCCCGCGTGCTCAGAGTCACTCGCGTTCTCACTCCAGGTTGCCATGCTCACATACAGCGATCCTTAGCTTAGGGTTGAGGGTTGAGGGTTGAGGGTTGAGGGTTGAGGGTTGAGGGTTGAGGGTTGAGGGTTGAGGGTTGAGGGTTGAGGGTTGAGGGTTGAGGGTTTAGGGTTTAGGGTTTAGGGTTTAGGGTTTAGGGTTCAGCATCTCAAGTCCGAGCATTCACTAGTCAAGCAGCTTGTCAAGCGTTGGAAAAAAACCCACCCACCCAAGAAACCCATAACATTGAGAAAATACAAAGTTCACTCAATACATTCCCAGAAGTTAGCTTTTAACGGACCCAAAACCCGAAATCTAATCTAAGGCCCACAACAGGCCCTTTATGATCTTAGGGCCCTAAACCCTACGGATTAGAAGCCCCTATCGGTGAAGGCTCGTGGTCAAAAACCCAGAAAACGAGGCCACCCAGAACCGTCGATTTCAGCACTAACAAATCGCATTTTTAATAGGGACCCGGGCCGATCCTGGGGTCCCCCTCATTTGGGGTGTTTTTGGAGGCAAACTTTCCCTCCCTAGGAAAGATCGGAGTTTGAGGCCAGGGGGGGTCTCCGAAGACTATTTTGCCTGTAAAATTGAAAAATACGACCCCCCCCTGACCAAAACTAGGCTGTGAAAAGGTCGCGGGGCTGCCCTTCATCAGAATTGAGGGTTAAAAGCCCTGAAACATCCTGAAAAACATTGAAAAACCTTGAAAAACATTGAAAACCTCTGAAAAACCTTGAAAAAACTCAGGGAAAAGGAAATTCACCGCTGCCCACTTTTGAGGCCCGGAAAAGTCACCGTTGCCCACTTTTGAGGCCCGGAAAATCACCGTTGCCCACTTTTGAGGCCCGGAAAGTCACCGTTGCCCACTTTTGAGGCCCAGAAAATCACGCCCGGAAAGTCACCGTTGCCCACTTTTGAGGCCCGGAAAGTCACCGTTGCCCACTTTTGAGGCCAAAAAAATCACCGTTGCCCACTTTTGAGGCCCGGAAAATCACCGTTGCCCACTTTTGAGGCCCGGAAAGTCACCGTTGCCCACTTTTGAGGCCCGGAAAATCACCGTTGCCCACTTTTGAGGCCCGGAAAGTCACCGTTGCCCACTTTTGGGGCCCGGAAAGTCACCGTTGCCCACTTTTGAGGCCCGGAAAGTCACCGTTGCCCACTTTTTCACCGTTGCCCAGGCCCGGAAAGTCACCGTTGCCCACTTTTGAGGCCCGGAAAATCACCGTTGCCCACTTTTGAGGCCGAAAAAGTCACCGTTGCCCACTTTTGAGGCCGAAAATCACCGTTGCCCACTTTTGAATTAGGGTTTAAATTCATTATGATAGAGAGGTTTAGGGTTTAGGGTTTAGGGTTTAGGGTTTAGGGTTTAGGGTTTAGGGTTTAGGGTTTAGGGTTTAGGGTTTAGGGTTTAGGGTTTAGGGTTTAGGTTAGGGTTTAGGGTTTAGGGTTTAGGGTTTAGGGTTTAGGGTTTAGGGTTTAGGGTTTAGGGTTTAGGGTTTAGGGTTTAGGGTTTAGGGTTTATAGGGTTTACGGTTTAGGGTTTACGGTTCGGGTTTAGGGTTTAGGGTTTAGGGTCTAGGGTCTAGGGTTCAGGGTTCAGGGTTCAGGGTTCAGGGTTTAGGGTTTAGGGTTGAGGCTTTAGGGTCTAGGGTTTAGGGCTTGACTTCTGAACCCCTCCCAAAAGTTTGACTTCTAGGCTCCGAAAGCATAGTTTCTACACAAAAAACCCACAAAGTTAAAAAGTCCTAAGGGCCCGGCCAGAAGAAAGCCAAGGATCTGTCCTGAACCAGAACTGCCAGGGGCAGGAGTGGATCCGGACAGCGCAGGACTTCCGTGAAAGTCGTGTCGCCCGGCCGCAGGGCCAGCACCTTCCTCTCTGTGTGGTCGGCAACGTAGATGGTTCCACCATCCGTCACCTAGGCCAAAAAAAAACCTTAAACAAGAGCCCGAGACCCTAAACCTCCTAAGCCCTCTGAACCGCTAAACCCCTAAACCCCCTAAACCCCCTAAACCCTAAACCCTAACCCCAGACCCCTAGACTCCCAGACCCTAGACCCAATGAGGGGACATATCGACCTGTTCTGGAAAAAAGCCGAAACCCTATGCAAAAACCAAGGGTCCAATATAGAGGCCGTAATGACTAGATTATGGTTTTGGGAGACTATTGTAGTATATTTCTAAAGGGACCATAAGGGAATATCATTAGTAATTATCCGAACCCCCCCCCCTATATAAATTGAACCCTACCAAAGCCTACGCCGTAACAAGTTTGTAAAAACTTTAGTAATAAGGGTTTAGGGTTTAGGGTTTAGGGTTTAGGGTTTAGCGTTACGAAATACAAAAACATTCCAGAGACCACCCTAAACCCTAACCCTAGACCCTAAACCCTAAACCCTGAACCCTGAACCCTAAACCCTAAACCCTAAACCCTAAACCCTAAACCCTAAACCCTAAACCCTAACCCTAAACCCTAAACCCTAAACCTAGTCACGAAGAGATCCCAGAGCTCGGCCTCGGACTCAACTGGAAATTGCCCCACCACAACAGGTACAGATTCACCTCGGGGACTCCCAAAAAAGGCATCTTGTCCGGGGTTTAGGGTTTAGGGTTTAGGGTTTAGGGTTTAGGGTTTAGGGTTCAGGATTCCTTAATCTTGGCTGCGCTACATTTAAGGATCACCCCCTAGTTTGGGAAATGACCACCTGGCTTGATGCAGAGAATGCGGCCGCCCATACCATCACTAAGGTAGATCACCTCTTCCTTTGTGACGAATATCCCAATCCCTGAGAAGCGCATGTCTCGTGGAAGGCTCTCGGAGCAAACGACCGTCTGGAGTGTTGAGCCAACCAACTTCTGCACTGCTTCTCCGTACTGGCTCACCACGTAAAGCGCTTCGTCGTTGGGCGAGCAGGTGAGAGTTGTTGCATCAATGTCGTCCAGCACTATACCGATCTCATCCGCGAACCTAACAACCCTTCTGTTCTTAAAATCAGCTACGAACTTTACGCCGGAGGGTGAGATGGATAGGTCACAGTCGATTCCCAGCTCCTTTATTCCAGCCACGTGGGTGCTTGGACCCACGACAGTGTAGTGCTGAGGGTCGCCAGGCCTCAGGCGGAGGACTCGGCTTCCGCGGAAGTCCGTCGCATATATGGTATCTTCGTACCAGCACATGGAATTGCAGGGTGCTGGCCAGACTTTGCGTCCTGGGGGTTCAGTGCTGGCACCTAAATCTGGTGACCAATGTTGGAAACAGCGCCTCCTCGGCCGAAAGTCCTGTAAACTTGTGGACCTCTTCCGTTCCCGCATGCGCAAAGCCTCATCCGCTTCCCGGTGTAGGTCGTCACCACATTGACCCCCAAGGGAGAAGCGGCCGATTCGAAGCAGATTCTCAACGGAAATCGATTGGAAATCCACATGTTGCAGGAGCATGCCGAGGGAGTCATGTCTGTCCTTGGAGATGTTGAGCCTTGGTTGGCTCTTAAGGGTTGTGGGTTTAGAACTTATTTTTAACACTATTCTTATGACCCGGGATTCAGCCACAGAGAGCACGTTGCCAAATAATTTTTTATATGGAAAATTTATGTTTTAAATATGATTTTGGGATTTCTTGATTTATGACATTTTTACGATTTGGTTTATGATTCTCTTCGATTTTATGAAAAATTTATGATTTTTTTATGAAAAATTCATGTTTTTCGTCGATTTTATGGAAAATTTTATGATTTTTTTATGAAAAATTTATATTTTTCGTCGATTTTATGAAAAATTTATGAATTTTTTATGAAAAATTTATGAGTTTCGTCGATTTTATGAAAGTTTTATGATTTTTTTATGAAAATTTTATGTTTTTCAACAATTTCGCATCATTTTCAATGCAGAAACACACAAAACTGACCAAAACCATAAAATTTTCATAAAAAAATCATAAAATTTTCCATAAAATCGACGAAAAACATGAATTTTTCATAAAAAAAATCATAAATTTTTCATAAAATCGAAGAGAATCATAAACCAAATCGTAAAAATGTCATAAATCAAGAAATCCCAAAATCATATTTAAAACATAAATTTTCCATATAAAAAATTATTCCTTGAATCGTGGCTCTGGCTACACATCCAGTGTCATAACACTATTCCTAAATGCGCGTTCTCTTAAACCCAAGAAGGCGGAAATACAAAATTATCCCAAGGGCCTACCCAGGAGCCAGAAGAAGAGCCCCTGCAGCACCGCCTCCTCGCGGGATACGGTCAAGTCGTCTCTCTTCAATATTCGGGCCAGCTGCGTGGCGCTGAGCTTTCCAAAGTCTGGATGCTTGCCTAGGCTGGTGTGTAAACCATCTGAGAAAACTTCCTACGAATGCGACCCTTGTGGGACCCAACAAAGGCATAAAGGTATATTAAATAAATAAATAAATAAATATATATATATATATGTATATTAATTATACACACCGAATGTCGGAAACCACCATATGGGCACCTTTTTCAAAACATCACTACGAACATAAAACATCCTATGACCCTAAACCCTAAACCCTAAACCCCAAACCCCAAACCCTAAACCCACGCACAAAACATCCTCAGAGCTCACCTGGCGGCTGCAAGCCTCGAAGTCCTCAGCCAGTTTGCCCTCACATACCGACTTCAACTCATGGAGGCCGTAGGCCTCCTTAGTTGCGCGGAGCCTTCTGGGGTTTAGGGTTTAGGGTTTAGGGTTTTGGGCTTAGGGTTTAGGGTTTAGGGTTTAGGGTTTAGGGTTTAGGGTTTAGGGTTTAGGGTTTAGGGCTTGGGGTTCAGGGTTTAGGGTTTGGGGTTTAGGGCTTGCGGTTTAGGGTTTAGGGTTGGGGGTCTAGGGTATAGGGGGATGTTGAAACCATAAACCCGCATACTCTGATGGCTGCTACTAGGCTTCTTGTAAAACTTGCAGGGCCACACTGCTGTCCATGGAAGCTCTGAAGCTGGCGTCCACTGCACCCGCCAACCTAGGTTGCCCAGGAATCTCGGACGTCAAAAGGGTTTAGGGTTTAGGGTTTCGGGTTTGGGGTTTAGGGTTTAGGGTTTAGGGTCACTTTGTTGGTTTCAGGGGCTAGTCTAGGGAGGGATCTCAACCCATGGAAAGAAGGGAAGAGTAAGTAGCCCGAAACGCAGAGCCCTGAATCACTCAACCATACATTCGAAACCTAGACCGTTACTCCTAACCCCTAACCCCTAACCCCTAACCCCTAACCCCTAACCCCTAACCCCTAAACCCTAAACCCTAAACCCTAAACCTTATAAACCCTAACTGGACGTCCCCGCGACGTCGGCAGATCGTAGGCCTGGGCCAGTCGAAGAAGCTCGAGACCCGCTTCCAGCGGCAGCTCGGGTTCCCCGCCGTAGATGAACTCCTGGGTTTAGGGTTTAGGGTTCAGGGTTTAGGGTTCAGGGTTTAGGGTTCAGGGTTTAGGGTTTAGGGTATAGGGTTTAGGGTTTAGGGTTTAAGGGTTTAGGACTCAGGGTTCAGGGTTTAGGGTTTGGGGTCTAGGGTTTAGGGTCTAGGCTTGAGGGTCTGGCCCTATGAAACAAAGGTCCCAGACAAGATCCTTCGGAGGTTTTTAAGATCTCAGGGGTCATATCTCAACATCCCAAGGGGGACCCAAGAAATAAGGACAATCAACCCTAAACCCTAAACCCTAAACCCTAAACCCTAAACCCTAAACCCTAAACCCTAAACCCTAAACCCTAAACCCTAAACCCTAAACCCTAAACCCTCACCCCCAAACCCTAAACCCTAAACCCCAAACCCGAACCAAGAGTCGAGCAAAGAGGACACCGCCTCCTTCGAGGCGGCCAGCTCCACTGGCTGACCCTGCTGCACCCGATCTGCTTCAAGGAAGGATCCTGGGTTGGGTTTAGGTTTTAGGGTTTAGGGTTTGGGGTTTGGGGTTTAGGGTTTGGGGTTTAGGGTTTAGGGTTTAGGGTTTAGGGTTGAGGGTTGAGGGTTCAGGGTTTAAAGTTTACGGCCCTGTAAGCCCTAAACCCTAGCGCCGCTAAATGGCTTCGGGTTGAGCGCTGAGGGTCTAGGGATTCGAGGTTGGGCCTTGAAAAACCCTCTGAGAGATACTTCTACACATAACCCTCTTAAAACTCAATAAGTCAATAAGGGAACATACAAAAACATACCCCAAGACCCTAGGATCCCCTGAAACATATTCCTAAGTAGGATCCTCGCACACCCGATAAGGGAAATACAAAAACATACCGCAAGGGCCTAGGATCCACATTCCTAAGCAATAGCCCTCTCAAACCCTAAACCCTATGCCCAAAATCCAAAACCCTAAACCTTAATCCCCAATAAGGGAAAATACCTTCCAGGGCCTAGGATCCACACAGGAGATTCCTGAAGTAGATGCTGGCTGCAGCGAGTACAGTGGTGTGGGCTCGATGCTCAGAGCCTAGGCGGGAGTGGGGGCTCAGACCCTAAGCCAATACGGGTACCACTGCCCCAAAGGCGCTGCAAGCCCTTTAAGCCTCTAAACCCCCTAAACCCTAAACCTAACCCTAAACCCCAAACCCTAAACAAGCCCCCCAGGAGCCATCGCGGCTCTTCAGCACGAGGTCGCAGAGGTGGCCCTCCATCCAGAGCTTGCGCAGCTGCTGCACGAGGCCGGCACCGTGCTGCCCCGGATTGTCGTGAAGGAGCTTTAAGGACGCCATGGCGGGGTTTAGGGTTTAGGGTTTAGGGTTTGGGGTTTGGGGTTTTTTAAGCCGCCATGAGCACTTGTTGGGCTCACGATGTCTTAGGGCCTGGGACATAAAGTGCATGAGGGTCTGGTGTTTAGGGCTTGAGGTTCAGGGTTTAGGGTTCAGTTTGGGTTCTGTTGAGACTTTTTCACACATTTTTCAAAGGCGGTATCGATTGCATCACAAAAGAAACGCCTAGGCCTTAGGTTCAGGGATTTAGGTTTTAGGGCTTGTGGGTTTAGGGGTTTAGGGCTTTGGTGTTGAGGGGCCCTGAACCCTAAACCCGAAACCCTAAACCCTAAGTAGGGCGGGAGAGCGCCGCTGCAAACTTTGCCGGCACGGCTGCAGGGACACAGCGGCAGGGTGGTGGACCCCGTAGGGTGGTGGACCCAATCGTGTGAGGAATGCCCATGGTGTTCTGCACCCAAGAGCATTAAGTTTTGTTAGTTTTAAGACATATGAGGGGCATAGGTGTCGCACAATGGCAAGGGTGTTCTGGCTCAGTTGGCCGAATCCCTTCAACACTCTTGTGAAAGTCATGGGAAAGCTGGAGCCCTTAACCCTAAATCCTAAGCCCTAAGCCCTGAACCCCAAGCCCTAAACCTTTAACCCTAAACCCTAAACCCTAAACCCTAAACCCTAAACCCTAAACCCTAAACCCTAAACCCACCCCCCCAGGTTCACGGCCATGGAACCTCAATCTTCACAAAAGCCCTCTGAAGCCCTCCACCTGAACCCAAAAGGCCCAAAGAACCTCCCGAGTCTTTCCAAATCCCCGTAATGAACTTAAACACCAAGCCCTGAGCCCTAAGCCCTAAACCCTAAACCCTAAACCCTAAACCCTAAACCCTAAACCCTAAACCCTAGACCTCCCAACTCCCATAAACCCAAAAGCAGACATCTCTCAGCGTCTTTGATTGCTCCCAAGCCTTTGCACCCTTCTGCCAGAACCTCCAAAGCCTGGCCCTCCCTCAAAAACCCGTAAGCCCCCGTCACAGCGCCAGAACAGCTAAGCCCCATAAGCCTGAAAAACCGAAATCGCACAACCCTACTGCATGATAAGACCCTTCACCCAAATTCCAAAACCTAAAACTTTAAGGAGTAGCCCTAAACCCTAAACCCTGAATCCTAAACCCAAAACCCTAAACACTACATCCTCACACCCATTTCATCCCCAAGGAACCCTAAGGAGGCCAAAAGGAGCCCCAAGCCCTGAGGAGCCCCAAGCCCTAAGGAACCCTAAGCCCGTTTAGGGTTTAGGGTTTAGGGTTTAGGGTTTAGGGTTTTGGAGCCCGAAGTCCTGAACTCGAAAGTCTTGCAGACTGGCGAGCTGCCAAGGCCCCCGGGGTGACTGAGCCCAGCACCAGCCACAGCAAAGACCTTCTAATCACTGGGATGCCTACGAACCCGATTCTACCAATTGCTTAAAAAGACCCCCCCCCCAAAAAAAAAAAAAAAAAACTTCCTTATAAGGGTAATATAGGGAGTATTATTTTTTTTGTTGGGGGCTTCTTAAGCAACTAGGAAGATTCGAGTTCAGGCTCCAGGGCTCAGGGGGGTCTAGGGCTTCGGGTCTAGGAATGCTATGCCAGCCCGCACGTGGACTTATGTGGGGTTCATGGTTGAGGGTGTTTTTCGCGGGTTTAGGACCTCAACCGTAAACCTCTAGGGTCACTATTTCAAGGGGATACATCCCAGCCTAAGCCCTAAACAAGCTCCGGAACAGAAACTGCCTCTAAACCCCTTAAATTAGCTGAGCTGCATTTTCTTCTAAGGGAACCTGACCCTAGAAGGGGCAGCAAGGTCACTGGGTGGCCTAGCAACACATAAGCCCTAAATCCTGCAGTGCCTCGAGGTCTTGCTTTCATCAGAGCTAAGGGAATAGAGGGAGCAGGGCCTGTGAAACTAGAGTGGGCATTTGGGGAAATGTTCGTTTGTTTTTTTTTTAAGGGCCTGTCAGGGGCTACCCCTAAACCCTAAACTCTAAACCCTAAACCCTAAACCCTAAACCCTGAACCTATTCAGGCTCCCGATCTTGTAGTGCTCTCAACTCTGAGGCCCCTCAGGACGCAGCTTTCACGAAGGCAACCTTTAGCAATCTAAGCTTGGTTTACGGCCCAAATGACTAAACCCTAAACCCTAAACCCTAAACCCTAAACCCTGAACCCTGAACCCTGAACCCTGAACCCTAAACCCTCAAACTAACCCTAAAGCCCTAAACCCTAAACCCTGAATCGGCCACTTTGAGAACTAGGCTCGTGGCTTGTTGTCTTCGATCACCTGGCTCCGGGCAGCCACTCTTCAAAGGGCTGCACTTAATGGGTATAAGGAGGTTTAGGGTGTAGGGTTTAGGGTTTAGGGTTTAGGGTTTAGGGTTTTGGGTTTGGGTTCAGGGTTCAGGGTTTAGGGTTTGGGGTCCCTAGAAGGGACCTTCCTTCATCTTCCCCTAGGGGTTGCACCCTCATCTGTACCTCATAAAGTCCCTACAGACCTAAGTAGCCCCCAAAAGGGTCCCTCCTTTGGTCCCTTGATACAAGCCTGAAAAACATCCAAGCCCTAGAGCCAACAATCGCATCCCAAAACGTAGGAAGCGTCCTGTGGGGGCCTGAATACTGAGCCTGCACGCCATGCCGCACCCCTGAGCCCTAAACCCTGAACCCTAATCCCTGAACCCCTTGCAGCTTTTTTAAGGCGAATAGAGCTGCTCACAAAAACCCCTTGCCCTTCAGGGTGCTTAGGATGCCCAGTAGCGCCTTTGCCTTCGGGTTTGAGCTTGGGGTTTAGTAGGGTTCAGGGTTCGAGGGTGTACGATTCATGGTTTAGGGCTATCCAGCAATGCCGTTGCTCCCTTTATCTAGGTAGGAACCCCACTGCATGTCAACCCTTAACCCTAAACACCCTGCACCCTAAACCCTGAACCCGAAACCCTGAACCCGAAACCCTAAACCCTAAACACTAAACCCTAAGATCTGAACCCTGAACCCTGAACTCTGAACCCGAACTCTGCATGTGATCCCACCTGACTCGACACGCGGACAAAGTCCTCTGAAGCATGGCGCGCCTCCTGACTTACGGGGGTTCCTTAAGGGTTTAGGGTTTAGGGTTTAGGGTTTGGGGTTTGGGGTTTGGGGTTTGGGGTTTGGGGTTTGGGGTTTGGGGTTTGGGGTTTGGGGTTTGGGGCCTCACTTATTAAGGGTTTTGAGGGTTCGTACAGGGTTTAGAGTCTAAAATCTGGGCATTTGGATTTGGGTGGGGAGGTCTCTAGGGAACATTCTCTTCCCCTCCAAAACCCCAAAACCCCAAAACCCCAAAACCCCAAAACCCCAAAACCCCAAAACCCCAAAAACCCCAAAACCCCAAAACCCCAAAACCCCAAAACCCCAAAACCCCAAAACTCCAAAACCCCAAAACCCCAAAACCCCAAAACCCAAAACCCCAAAACCCCAAAACCCCAAAACCCCAAAACCCCAAAACCCAAAACCCCAAAACACCCAAAACCCCAAAACCCCAAAAACCCAAAACCCCCCAAAACCCCAAAACCCCAAAACCCAAACCCCAAACCCCAAAAACCCAAAAACCCAAAACCCCAAAAAACCCCAAAACCCCAAAACCCAAAACCCCAAAACCCCAAAACCCCAAAACCCCAAAAACCCCAAAACCCCAAAACCCCAAAACCCCAAAACCCCAAAACCCCAAACCCCAAAACCCCAAAACCCCAAAACCCCAAAACCCCAAAACCCCAAAACCCCAAAACCCCAAAACCCCAAAACCTCAAAACCCCAAAACCCCAAAACCCCAAAACCCCAAAACCCCAAAACCCCAAAACCCCAAAAACCCCAAAACCCCAAAACCCTTAGACGATCCTCGCTTATTAAGGAGATACTAACTCATGGTCGCCTCGGCTTCTGGACGGCCGGAATATTTAAGATGCCATGGTATGGGGCTTTGGGGTTTCGGACGCTGTCAGGGTTTACGGTTTAGGGTTTAGGGTTTAGGGGGTTCAGGGTCTTAAGTCGTGGGAGGTCGTGGGGTTTGAAGGCTACGGGTCTAGGGCCCCTAGGGTTTTTCCTCATGGAGTTTGCTCTAACGTGACATCCGTGTAATGCTTTTTAAACCTAACACCCACCCATACTTATGACCCCAAGTAGAAGTGCAGTTATCATTGGGGCTTTGAGTACCCTGAGCCTCCAAGTAGGGATCGATGTTCCAGGATTCACGGGTTGTTTGTTGAACTGGCGGTTTAAGGAAGAAGCCCTGGGCGCCAAAGCGTGAATTATTTCGCTTTGGGAACAGACCCAGTCCCTAAGCCCTAAGCCGTAAGCCCTAAGCCCTACACCCTAAACAGCAGCTTTCTCCCAAACCCTACTTGGAGGTTTAGGGTACTTATAACCCCAATGACAAATGTGCAGATAAGCTCCCTGAGTCCCCCCAAGTAGGCTATAGTTCGACTTATAATTTTAGGGTTTCAGGTTTTAGGGTTTGGGGTTTGGGGTTTAGGGCGTCACTTATTAGGGGTTTTTAGGGTTCGTACAGGGTTTAGAGTCTAAAGTCTGGGGTTCTAAGCACCCATGAACCTCCTAGTACCCGCAACTGAGGGTCAAAGGCCGGGTGGAAAATGGGAGGCCAACGATGCGTTAGAGGTTCAGGGGTGGACATAAATGAGAGCCTATTGCCTAGTTACAACCGCTGTTACACCATGCACATTACCAGCTTTAATGCCTATGAACCTCCAACCCTAAACCCTAAAACCAAAACCCAAAACCCAAAACCTAAACCCTGAACCCTACGTCAAGAAAGTCTACATGATAGCCATTTACACGCCCGAATCGTGAACACCTAAGCCCCACGTGTATCCAAGCTATGAGGGGAATTAGCAACAAAGGTACATTCCGTATTGGGCGCCTGCAGGGCTAGGTTGAGGCTGTTGCTGAGGGCTTGACACCCCTTTAGGATTCAGGGTTTAGGGTTCTGGG